GAGTTTATAAACCAATTAGTAGGACAGTTTCAATAATTAATACATTATATATTGTTGTCTTCATAGTGGTTATTCATTGTACAAGACGCAGACACGATATCCTGTCCAAAAACACTATTAGTACAAATCTTTCTTTTCATTGAATTAAGAGAAAGTAGCTGTATATATATTCTAATTGAACCAAATTTTCTGATCAAGGAGATTATGGGGCCACAGAGGAAAGTGATTGATGGTGTAGACTGTGCCTAAGGAGAGTCACATGGAGAGAAAACATTCTCTCAGGCTTTCACACACAGCAAATTGATCAGGCAATGGCCATGACTCACCCACGTGGCTGACACTGACAAAGGATCTACAAACTGTGGTCAGGGTTTCTGGGGAAATCCTGAGGGGATTTGACTGACCTTGGCAGATAAAAAAGTGACATTTCTTGTTATAGAGTTCTTACTTTATCTTGGTCTTAACCATCCATCAGAAAAGTATAAAAATGAGGTATAAAAAGTAAAGTCATATTAATAAGCTGAACTATAAAAGGCTCAAGTCAACAACTTCTGACATTGTCAGTCCTACAGACAACCCCCTACTATTATGGACTACTGGAGCCAAATATTATTGAATGTAGAAAGTATCTAAAATATTTCAAAGGCAAATTTCACAGTTCCATTACAAAAAGAAAGGTTCATGGTATGTTTCCCAGTGAGGGTCACTGGACAGCTCTGAACAGGAAGATGGGCTATGAGGGCCCACAGTGTACATTTTTAGTGTCCTTAATCCTCCAGATAATGTCACTACATTTCGTGAACATGGCTATGTTTATGAATCTGCCTTGCAACCTGAACCCTGAGTACTTGTACTACAGTCATGGGAAGAGCTGCATTCTCTTTATTTTGTTGAGGGGGTTTACTTTCATTTTATTTTTGCGTCATCTTTATTTCATTTGCTCTGGCACAGGATGCTACCTGGTTAGCACATTGTCTCCCTTTCCTTCCTCCCATCATCACTTCCTAGAGAGCAATATTGGACCTCACAATGCTACAGTTCAGGTGAACCTGGAGGAGGATGATAAGGATTTACCTCACAGGGAAGCAAATGATGCTCTTCTATACATTTCCCACCTGTGAAATCTTTCTTGCAAAGACCTGACTTAATTCACATGCTTGTGTGTTTTAAGTCATAACATTCTCTACTCTTTAGTTTTTATTTTCTCCATGTTTGAAATGAGCATTTAGAAGCTGTAGAGCACCATATGCACATTATCTCCCACACTGTAGGTGTCTCTTGGTAGTATGCATTATTCTGTGACTCTAGAATGGAATGGAAATATTGTGGTTGCTATATAATCTACTTGCAACTGAAGAAAATATTGTAAAATGATTTTATACCTTTCATGCGTGGATTAATGTTTCCTGTGTTTTAAAAGATGTGTTATTCTGAAGCAGTTGAATGGTATCAATTGTTTAATTAAAATCGGTCATAGCTTGCTGGCAAGAAATGACCTTACCTTCAACTTATCAGTAGGACCAAAATCATCTATTGTGTTCTTTGTAAAGGAATTCAAAGATGAATATTATTCCTTGGTTAGATTCAGAAAACATCAGTTGAGTGCTTATTATATCATTATGTGTAAGCCTTTTTTGACTAGTAAATGGGGAGTTTCACAAGTGAGCCTATTAAGTATTATGTGTGTAAGAGGTTCATAGCTTGGCTGTCTAGACAAACACAGAGCTAGGATAGACAAAAAAGAGTCATACTGAAGATACAAAGAAAATATTGCAGAACTATTTTTACCATCAAGGTATATTTTACATGGGATGGGACTAAAGAATTACATTTCAAATAGTAGTAAGTGGAGAGGATATTTTCAGTTAAGCATGTACATCTGCCTAGCTTCAGCATTTCAGTGTTGAGTATATGACTGATTTTGGATTGCATTCCAAACCACTTTCTCTCTTACATCCTGATCTAATGAATGACAGCATCACGGAGGAATTTTCCCCAGTTGGCAAACTAAGACACCCCTTCACTCCTCATGTTCAGTTTTTCATCCCACAAAATCTTCTATCACCACGTCCTGTCATTACTATCTTTAAGTATTTCTCAAATGTGTCCTTTTCTTTTCAGACTCACGACCGCCTACTGCCTGACTTTAGACAGTTTGAATTCCTTGTCTATCTGAATTAAAACCACCTCTTAAAGCAGTCCATCTCTAATCTAGCTAATGCAAGTTATCATCTCCGTTTGCTGAAAAATGAGCCTTAAATTGCAAATACCGTTCAATCATTATCCTCTTTAAATCCTTGTATTGGCCTTTGAGTCCCTATTTCAAATTGTTGGCTCTGTTAGAGAAAGTCTTTTGTGACTTGTCCTTAATTTCTCAACTGCTGGCATGTTACTACTTTTTCTGTCTAGAGTTCAGTGGTCCTCAGTTTCCAATTAATTTTCATTTTTAAATATTTTTTGTACATTTAGGACAGGGTCTGTAGGGACTCGCTGTGTAGATCAGACTCGTAGTGATGCTTCTGTTTACAGCCTCCCAAGGGCTGGGATTACAGGTGCATACCACTACACCAAGTGTTCCAATTAATTTTCTTGCCCTATTCTTCTCATGTCTCTTGTAACATACAAACACACACAAAGATGTACACACACACACACACACACACACACTTTAGCATTAGTGTTTATCAAGAATATCTTATTCTTAACATTTCACTAAGCTGACTATATTCACACAATAAGACATATCTGCTATGACCGCACCTTTCTGCCATTGGAAGTGCTAGTCTAAATTTGAGATGCACGTCTAAATTAAATGCTTCTGCATATAGCACAATTCCCCACAGCCTACTCTGAATATGTGTGTCACAGCAACTACCTCAATGCATTATAATTGTCTCATTTTCATTTAACTTGCATGTGTTAGTTTTTCTATAGCTTAATATGATACCTGAGGTGTACAACTTAAAGCAAGAAGGACTGTGCACCTTCTAGCTCACACTGCAGTCCACCATCTGTTGGCTCCAGGGTAAAGACATCACAGTGGGATAGTGTGGCAAAACAAAGCTGCCTATCAAAGTTGGACAGCCAAGCAATGCAAAGGTGTCAGAAAAAAAGGAAGCAAAGGCCTGTATATGGTACCTAAGGCCACATTTCCATGACTCAATGAGCACATCTGGCAGTATGCTTTTCTAGTCTCTAAGCATTCTTAACCAATGAAGTTGACGTATGAAGATTAACAGCCACATTCAATGGCCAACCTGAGAATTTGACCACGTACAAAGTGTGAATTAAAAAAAAATGTAGTGAATAATCACATTAAAAATAGTCGAAATAAAAGACACATTGCTGTTAATCTTCTTCAAATTATACCTTCCCTGCTTGAACACAAATATCCCATTATTCTTGTCACTTTCTGAGGCAGTACTAGGACTCCTCTTTTGTGTTTTTATTTGTATGGGCATGATCATTTTGACTTGGACACTGAGCTACAAGCCATACTGTGCCAGATCCACTGTAGAGAATGGATCAGGAAAGGATAGGCGCTGGATTTCCCTTGGGTGGCGCTCAGCAGAATCATTCATGGTTTCTGGTTTTCTCATACGTTATAAAGACACTTATGGACCAAGACTTCCGGAAGTGCTACAGGAAGTAGCAAGAATGATAGAATAATCATGCTTAAGGCCAGAGGCATTATTCAGAGGGTACTTAATGGCAATATTTGCTAGTTGTTTTAAGCAGTGCTAGTATATAGGAAACATAGCACTTTATATATTAGTTTGTAAATATGAAGGTTCTTATATATAAATAAAATAATAAAGAAATCAAGATGGACATTTGCTCTTTCTACCTGCTCCAAACCTTTTTTTGGGGGGATTCAACCTTGTTGCGATGCATATGATTTTACTGAAGCTACACATGATGGTGCTTTTCCTTCCAGACCTAGATATTTGTATGCGGTCTGGATTGTTTCACTCAGAAGGTAAGAGCATTTTGTAAACTAATTTAGGTAATAATAAATCACCAGAGGGGGCACTAGTTTACATTTTAGGTTATTTCACTCAATAAGTATGAACCTGGGAGAAGTGGAGCTTGCTGTTTCCGGTAGGAACCAACCTTGTCTACACAAGGGCCATTCACCATTTATCAGGTCATCTGTGCTGATTGTCCTCTCTTCTATTTAAGTGGTGCAACTTTTCCTGTGTTCATTAGCTGTAGAGTCCTAGTAGTGCAAGCTAATCATGTGCTCCCTTCCTAAGTCAGTGATTAGTCTAGAAGTCAAAATGATAGGAAGTGATGTCATTTATCAAGGCTTTTTAGGAGACAGATTCATAAAAGGACTCTTATTAGAAGACATAGTTCCTTTACAAAAGCAGAGGAATTTTCATTTCTCATGTCACTACTGGAATGATAGCAGTCATGCTAAGAAAAACCATTCCAGTCTGACAAGACAGTTTACTCAGAATGATAGAGCAGAGGCAAAGAAGCTGTATTCTTGATGTTAGTACTAAGCTGTTGAAGTAACCATCCTGGGCCACCCAGTGCTGGCAGTTCTTGCTTGATAACAATTTGCCTTTTTGTTTGGTTCATGAGATAGGACTTTACTATCTTACTTGCACCTATAATTGTTTTAATTGGTATTCGTGACATTGCTTCTTAAGCAACTATAATTAAAATATTTGAATGGGGTTTTCATTTATGGCAATAAAAATAAGAAACTAAGCTATTCAAATATTGTAGTAATCTTAAATTTTCTCAATATCAATAAAATTGTACTAAAGTAAAAAAAAAAATAAAGTTAGTAGCAAGTATGAAATGTCAGGCCAGGGAGATGGCTTGGTGGAATAAGCGTTTCCCTGGCAAGCGTAAGGGCCTGAGTTCAATCCCCAGTTCCGAAAAAAAAAAAAACAAAAACCTGCCTTCCTGCTGCTGGGCCATCCGAGGAGCTGACATTGCCGTTTTCCTAGAGATTCAGTCCGACACACGATGCCTCTCGGGGCATCATGGTGACATACTGGCGACAGGCTGGACTCAGCTACATTCGCTACTCCCCGATCTGTGCAAAGGCAGTGAAGATTGCCCTGAAGATGGAATTCAGAGCAAGTGCAGAGAAGACTGCTGGCAGCAGCATCAAAATTGCGAAAGTGAAAAAAGAAAACCAGCCCCAACTAGAGCTGGAAATGCTACATTTTCACCCTGAAGATGTGTGAGCAAGTGTTATGGCAGATTGTAATCCATGTCACTTTGTGAGGGGAAAAAGTACCTATTTTATTCGTAAATTAATGATACCAATAAATTGATGCAGGTTCACTGTTAAAAAAAAAAAGTAATGTCAGGATAAGAAATAAAGAGAGCTAGATTTAAAACTGATAGTGCATATGGTGCATTAAGAATTATAAAAAAATTAAAATGCTTGGTTAAACTGACCCTTAATCTTTAAAATCTTTTCTTATGAAAACGCAGACTTAGTTTTGTAAGAAATAATTATTTGAGCTGGAGAAAGGAAAAAGACAATGTGTCAATTACGAAGATAACTGGCCACAGCGTGTTGCTCAGTGTCCTGTCACTGTGACAAAATGTTTGTGAAGGAAAACTTACAGGAGGAAAGCTTTACTTGGCTTCTCATTTTCACCAGATTCAATCGTTGCTTTGGCAAAGCTACATACAATGGTTGAGGGGGGAAAGGCAGAGGAAAGCTGCTGCTTCCCCATTGACAGCCAACACGTTGGGAAAGGGAAGGGAGAAAAGAAGAGAAGAAGACCCTGGGACCCAAATACGCTCTCCGCCATGAAGTGAACGCTACTCCTTTTAACTCGGCGCCACTGCCTGGGTTTCCGTTACTTTGTACTCATGCCGGCACGTTATGAGTTTGTCGGCAGTCAATCCACTCAGTCTTCACAATGTCCTCACCCTCCCAAGGCTCACCAATAAGCAGACAAGACCCAGCACGTGGCTTTTGGGGTATTATTTAAACCCAAAATATAACCCATTGGAAAATACCATGAACTACGGCATCGTATTTCAATAGTCATCATCATTTTATTGGCGCATATAATTATAAATATATTTATGCTCTATGAAGTACTTTACTTGCACTTTCTAAGATTTTCCCATACAGAGAGAGTAAACTTTATACCAAAATATAAAGAAAAAAATAATTTACAACAAATTTTAGCAACTTAGATTTCCCATAAAACAAAACAAAACACCATGTTGATTTCAAAAGTAAATACAAAAGGAATAAATTTCACTCAAAAATTAAGATTTCAGAGATGAACACATTAAGATTCAAGTGGCTGTGAAACACAAGTAGAAAAACATTTAAGTCAACCACATAGCCAATGCTTTTGGGGTTCCACCGCTCAATTCTAAATCTTTCAAGTTCACTGTTTCGTTTTCCTCTTTTCTGAGACCCAAATAGAATGTGCTGTGCTTACTCTGCAGCAGTTAAAGTTTATGCTATACTTTCACAATTATTCTCACAAAAAATCTGTTGAATAATCAATTACAATTTAATCTTACAAATTAATCCTTCTAATTCCTGTAGGAATTAATTCTGATTTCATACATCTGATTCAGTTTAGACACTCAAAAATCAGTAAATAAATGGAAAAATGGAATGCTAATAAATGAATTAAGTGAAATATATATATATACATATATACTCATATAGATGAGCATATATGTATATATAGTTTACATATAATATATATTATAGTTATATAATATATATTATAGATAGTTTACACACTGTTATTTTTATAGATACTTTAGATTTCATTAGTAAATATGAAATGAGATTGATTTTTTTCCTTTTATGGTAATGATATAAGTTAAACCAGAAAATATTCCAACATGAGATGTTCTTAAAATTAACTTTGCATGAACCCAGAGATAGAATCATAACAACTTCTAAAATCAAGGCATCAGCTATGTAACTGGCAAAATTTTGTGTGTCAAGCTCTAATTTAATTATCTCCCTTCAGACACCATTACTGATGAGTTTATCCATAAGTTGTCTTTTTCTCTTCTAAAGTTATCTGCCAACAATAAAGTCAAGATATAATATGAAAGCTAGGAGGCCTTTTAAACATTTCAATAATTCTGAACTGATTTTTTTTTATCCCCTCTTGGTAGATTCTCTTTTTCCCTCAGTACTTCTTTTTAGTAGCACATCTGACACTGGGTGTCTGACCTCTGCTACTCTAATACTTGTTAATGGAAACTTCACCTCATGCAAAGATAAAATGGATTTTTGGCAGCTGTAAGAGATTATGAAGAATAAGACCAATCTTAGTTGGAATAAGAAGAAAAGAAGTCTTCTGTACCTTAAACTATTCAGCTGGTTTTCATTATACATCAGGCCTACATTTATTACAAAGAGGGTAGCCAAGAGACAGACTTTGATAGGTCTCTACATTTCAGCTGAGTAGGCTAGCATTTGATAAATTTGACTTTTCATCTTGACTTGAATTTGCATGTCTTAAATCTGTTTGAAATAGATGGCATACAACTGGGAATCAACTCAAGAAGACCTCTATTCTTCTTATCAGATTGTTTGGCTCATACTTCTATCTGGAGTATAATGAAATCTTAGTTCTTCCAACTCATTAAAATAAATGAGTGGTTCTATAAAACCCTAAAGTTATATAAATGAAATTCATTTAAAATTGCTTTTATGATATGCCTTATATATTTATATTTAATATGGTTTTGTCTCATATGCTGAGAATTTACAGTATGTCTAAACAAAGGAAGGACTATCTGTGAAGTCTTGATATAGAAGCAGCTTGGTTTGAGTCCTGTTTTCCTAAGTAGAGAAATGATGCAGTAGGGATTTCTAGGAAAACTTGTTATGTTTTATTTTGTATTATTTAAACCATACAATTTAATTTTGGCATGAAGAATAAGTGTCTGTCTCTGCTGATATAAGAATTTTCTAAAGACATGATTATAATTCAACAAGGATTAATATTTTAGAGGAGAATAAAAGAAAGGGATTTCATTTATAAAAATATCAAAGAAAAAGTAATCACAGAGAAATGATAATATATACATGCATTTAATATATAGCCCTAAAAATATCAACGAAACAAAATCATAGTTATATACTCACTGCTTCAGAAATTTCATAAAAAATTTGTCATGAAAACATAACAGCATTTATATTACATTTAAACTTACGGTCTAATACAGTGACAGCTGTATTTCTATAAGACACTTGCACTGGAAGGAGAAAAGGTAGCCATACCTAGGGAAATTTTTGGTTTCTTTTGAAAGATCAGTAAGAAAAAAATACACAAGGAATGATGAGGAGCCTTCTTATGAAGAAAACATGTTCAATTAAATGAAATTCAATTATTTATTTTGTTAAATATATCTCATTGTATGGCAGGCATTGAATTGCATAAACATTGGGAAGGAAAATAAAACAATACTTGGGGGCTTACAGGTTAGCTCAGTTGTTTAAGTGCCTACTGGGCAAACCCAGTCAAGCACAAGGAACCACGGGTCGAGCTCCAGCTCCATACGCCTGACCAGACCCACCTTAAGGCAGCCTGAGCCAACCGAAAACAAACAAACAAACAAACAAGCAAATTTTAGGGGATCAGGAAATGGCTCAGTAGAATAAGTACTTGTCTGGCAAGCGCAAGGACTAGTAATCAATGGAAAAGATTAGAATACCCAAATGATTTTGTACCACTGACAATCAGTAAAGCTAGTTAATAGCATACATTTTAGAATTGGAAGTTTATTTTTTAAAACATATTGCCAAACATTCATGAGACTTAAATATAAAAATGGAAGCAATGCAATATGGAGGCATATACCTGTAATCTCAGCATTACAGGAGGCTGAGGCAGGAGGGTTACAAATTTGATCCCAGCCTCAACAGTTTATAGCTTGCAGGATCCCATCAGAATAAAAAAAACAAAATTAAAGGAATTGGGACATACTTCAGAGATTATAAATAAAATACTCTGTAACACAAACATGCACACACACACCACATACAAAATGTTAATAGAGCATATATTCAGATTTTCATTGGAGTCATATTAAATTTATACTTTGAGAAGATTTATAGCATCATGATCTTGGATATTCTACCTAAAATTAGAATCAGCTCTGAAGTCTTCTTCTGTGAAGTCCAAATCATTTCCAGCTTCTTATTATAAACGTCTCTCTTTTTATTAAATGCTATGATAAATGTTATTTATTGCTTCACATTTATAAATAAGATCTCTATTTCATTGTTTCTTTTGTTTTGTGATTGTTTTAACAACTACAATTTACTAATTCGTAACAAATGTGCAAAAATATTTTGTTTTCTCTTTTATACTTTGTTATTCTATTATTTTCAATTTTGCATATATAGTCATTTAATCCAAAATAGTTTATTTCTTAATGTCCAACTTTATTATATTAAGATGCATATTATGCATCTCATCCTCAGCACAGATGAACTGGGGCAGTGGAGTAAGTTGCCAAGACAACACAGAAAATACCTAGAGAGGGTGTGTGGCATATATAGTTTAAAACTAGCTGAGACCAACAAGAAAGCAAAGGATTTATTGCAATTTACTGGTAAGGGAGAATCTACAAGCACCCCAGGGTTCAACAGTACCTCCTTCAGGTCCACAAAAGATAATACTTAAAAGTAGCATCCAGTGGCAAAAATGATGAGGGACACCTCAGCAGATACAGCACTGACTAAACTAGAGCAATACCAGTAGCTTTCTTGGCTCCGTTGTATGATGTCGTCTCCCAGGAAAGGCTGACCTAGCATGAGGTTGGAGAGGCAGCTCCTACAGATAACACTAGCTTGCTCATCAGCAGTGCTCTTCAGATAACTCTTCTCAGGACATTCTGGTCCCTGTGCAGGTACAGTGTCCCTTCACTTGACAAGAGTCTTGGGAAGGCAAAAGGAGCATTTCAAGGACATGGCGATAAATGTCCTAATATTTAAGTGAGGCATATATTGCTCTGCTCGGTTCCACTGGTATGTTTCTCCATGGAGACTTCTGGAACCAACAGCAGAAACCACACCTCTGTGGGCTCCAGCTGGTCCTCACATATTACTAGCTGTGGCTCAGGGAGAAAGTGTTCTCCACCTCCCTGTTCTACATTGAGGTCCTTCTCTTCACTCTCCCCATGGGTTGAAATACATGCTTCAGATGCTTGCTGAGTCCTGGGCACACACCTTCCT